GGGTTTTGCTGATTGAAACTAGTCAGGTGAGTATTTTGGCTTATCTATAAGGTTTGTGAAGGGCTCCTGCATCACTAATACACTACTCTTCTGCCACTCAAGCAATGATCTACCTCACTTCCTCTAAATTGCATCACATTTAGATCCCATAGTGTGTATGTGTGGGTGTGTCTGTCTCTCTGTGTGTGTAACTCAATCCACGACTGTTTGTGGGACACTGCTGTGTGCAATTCGCTTCTGCGTTTCGCCCACAAAACACAGTCACTCCACTTTACAGTGTATCCTGTGAAGCGCTTTGAGAGGTCTTACAGACGTGCTATAAGGTGCTATATCAAAAGCAAGGATGATGATGATGATGATCTACATTGTGCAGGAAACCCAGTGCCATAATTCTGGTGCACTTTACGTATGTGTTATAAATACAGCTGCTTTTTAGGGTTACGCTTTGGTGCTCTTCGAGGTAGAGGACGTCAACTCTGAATTTTTTTCTTGTTTGATACCGAATGTTAGTGTCAGGGACCACCAGATCTCAGATGCAAGGTAAAGCACCACTTAATTTGCAGATGTGCTGTTTTATGACCGAGAGGTGAGAGTATTACCAACTAAGCCAAGCTGAAATGTGGTACATATTAGAGCAGGCAACTTTGACTGCACAAACACTGTACCTCATTACCAGAGTCATTCCTTATTCAGCTCAGCAACACAGCTTCTAGAATATAGTCCACCAATCAGGATATAGTCCGTAAAGTGGCAGCACTAGAGCACAATGGCAGGTATAGGGCGACCATGGTAGTCTGGGTCCATTGACTCCCACCCACGTTACATTGAAGCAAAAAAATGGCCCTCTTCAGGGTTGTCAGGTCATTGCTGATGTCACTTCCTAGGCATTGAGTGCATGAAGCAACATTATTCATTGTCTTTTGCAAAGCGACGCCAGCGCTTCCTGCATATAATGCACAAACCCACGGCACACAATGTGGCATTAGTGATGCTTTCTGTGTGTAGCATGTGTACACAGCCAGCAGGAAGAGGCAAGCTGGATGTTTCCTGTGCGTAACGAGCAGGCACGCAATGCGCAGAAAGTGATGTCAGCAGCGACCTGACAACCACAGGGGGTGGCCATTCTTTACAATGGTAAATTGGCTTGTCAGCATGGTAAGCTGGGTGTACTGTGCTTCCAGTATGGCATAAGACCCTAGTCCACCCATGCTACAACTGGAATATGGAGGTAACCCCTGTGACTGGGCCAAAATGTGCAGCACTCACCAAGTATTTTCCTCAAAACCTTTGAGTGTCGCTGTATATGTGCAATAACATACAAGGAAAAGCTAACACCACTGAGTACCTGCGACAAAAGTCAGGAGGTATTTTTTAACCAAAGTATCAGGCAGTATCCATCAGACTTTTCACACAGAGAGTTGCTGGGATGTGGAATGCTCTGCCAAGTAAGGTGGTTGAGGCAGAGTCCAATGTGGGTTTCAAGAGGGAAGTAGACAGCTACATGAAGGATAGAGGCTTGAAGCTGTTTAGGGATAGGGCAGAGGATTGGGATTAAATTCACACCTTGCTCTGACAGCTGATGTAGGCTTGATGGGTCAAATGGCTTCTTTCTGTGCAGTTTCACTTTTAAGACTCCACAGACTTGTTACTTCCTACCTCTGCGATCTACTAAAACCTTACTAATCTGTCCACTCACTCGACTTGGGGGCACTGGCCTTCTCTATGTTCCCTGCCTGCCCCACCATCAGCAGTCGGGTCTTTAGTCTTTCTGCCCCCACCCTCTGGAACTCCATTTTAGATTCCCTTCACCTTGTCACCTTCCTTGCCTCCTTCAAGACCCGTCTCAAGACATTCCTCTATGACCGTGCTTTCGGTCATCCTTCCAACCCCCTTGTCCTCCACCCTTTTTGATTCCCCCTGCTCAGGTGCGAACCCTTCAGTGTCCAGCACCTTGGAACGTCTTCCCGATGTATAAATACAATTTGTTGTTGTAGATTTCTATTAGACTATTGAGTGACTTATTCCTGACACTTTAGTTTCTTCATGACTGTCATTTGCTGGGATTCACAATCATTTCACAATCAAATAGAACAGCTTTTAATATTCACAAACTATGAGATAAAATTAACAAATAATCCAGTTTGCAGAATTTCAATTTAGACCCTTCTAACCTGCATTTGTTTCATTGTATGTGCAATATCTTGTCATTCACCATTGTTTTAATTAAATCTTGTTCATTTTCTTGTGCAAATTAGGTTTAGGGTTCTTTGCAGCTCCCATTTTCTGTAGCTGGGCTGACTACATAAAGGAACCTAGGCTGTGTGTAAAATTGTGGGACTACGATTGCATTTAGTAATGTGATTAAATAGCATGCATTATTTCATGATTTCTGTCCTTTTATTCACAATCCGATACACTATCAATTCTTCCTGTAAGTTCTTTTAATTTTGTGTCAGTTTAACTTGATCATCACCAAAGTCTGAATCAGTTGAATTTCTTCTCATCTCGTGTGTACCTAGCATTTTCTTTCTAATGAATGTCTCAGAGATAATTCCCATATACCTTCCAGAGTATTGTGTTTTATTTTGCCAATTTTTTTCTTCCTGCTACCAAAAACATATTCGTAAGCTGCGTATGAAAATAAATTACAGTCATCTAAACAAAGCACCAAAATGAATGAAAAATGAATTGTCTTTGTTCATAGACAAATAAGGTGACAAAACATCACCATGCATTTAGTATAGTTTTGGAAGCATATCCCAAAGAGCTTCACAGGATTTACTGTGAAATGGAGTGATTGTTTTTTACGCAAATGTGGCAGCTCAATTGTACACAGCAACATCCCGTCAACAGTCATGACTTTACAGATAATTTGCTACCTTTATTCCAATATTCAAAAGACTGATACTACTGTAACAAGATCCATTAGATTGTATTATCTACTTCCCTGTACCAGGATCCTTATTGTACCTGATGTTGGTTTATCATCCTACACAGAGAGATCCTCTGACCACACGAAGGGGGAGGTAGAGAGAAGCCCAGCCGAGCAACACTTTCCTTATTCATAGTTTTGGGGGAGGGTCACTGTAGCTATATGGGCCACTGTGCTTCTCAACACAACACAGGGATTGTTTCCCACTGAGACTTTACCATCTGAGCCACTGGGGATAATGTAGTAAAAATTTTCAGTCAAAAGAATAGGTAAATAAATGCAAATAATAAGTGTTGCAATGTGCTAATGTCTGAGAGCTGCCAGTACCAGTGAAACTCCACATCCGCTACAGGATATCACTGACTAATATAATACCAACACAACCTGAAACCGAGACCTTCCACTTTGGTTTCCCCAAATTTGGAGCAGTAGGTGAAAATGATTTTTTTTCTGAACGTACGAATGAATGCTGAATTTTTATTTTGAAAATTAGTTAGTTTGGAAAGCTGGATTGTAACAGGGTTAAACAAAATGCTTGGGTGGTAACAGGTACTTCAGACATACTAACATTGTATCCCATAAAGGTTCGCTTTACAATAACTTGTTTAAGTGGTTACAGTTCCTCAAATTGCAATACTGCTGTCTAATACGGTGTTTGGTGCATAGAACTACCTTCTAATACAGTGCACATTTCCTATACTCTGTACCCATTCTATCAGGACATAGCCCCACTTTTTATCTTATAATGGTCCAATTCAATGCAACAAAAAGGCAAAATAGGATTGCAAGAATTATTATAGCAGATATTTGCCTGGTTTTATGAAAATGGTTTAAACAGTGGTTATTAATAGTAAGGGGATATTACTATTACTACACTAAAACATGCATTAGAAAGAGAGTCTACTGTACATTACAAGAAATGAACTTTTACCATTTAATTTTTAAGCACAACTTGAACTTATCTAGAGCCTTTCAAATAGGATGAAAGTCTCAAGGCGCTTTACAAAGACGATGAAAGAATAATGAGCAGGAAGAATAAAAAAGGTAGTTGACTGAAAGCACTGTCAAAGAGAAATGTTATGAAGGCAGAGGTGAGAGCCTTGAGGTAACTGTATTTGGGGAGAGGTTTAAAGATTGAAGTGGTTGTAATGTCGATGGGGGTGGGGGGGGACATTGTAGCTGAAATCATAGCCATACATTTTTAGAATTATCAAACATCCCAAAAGAATTTCAGATGTTGAAAGCCCTCTGGCCCATTTGATTATATGCTTATTGAATACCTATCCTGCCATCTTCCATTCCTTACAGGTCAGCTTTACAGAAGTCAAAACTGCTTTTGGCATCTGTGGGGAGCTCTAGAGAGTTGTTTGGATCACATCGGGATTTGAGAATTTAAGAATCTTCAATAATAATAATCCTTGCATTTGATATGGCACTTTATCACATCTTTAAGACGTCTCAAAGTGCTTCATAGAAGATACTGTATATTTTGTGGGCAAAATACGGCAGCCAATTACGCAAGCAGTGTCCACAAACAGTCGTGGATTGAGTGATCAATTTATTATTTTCTTTGAAGGAATTATTACCCCCGGAAAAGCGATCTGCCAATTGACTTAACAAACGGGTTCCTACTTACTGCTAGGTAAACAGAGGCATGTGGAGTAAGGAAACTTGCCCAACATTTTGCCCTGCCAGGAATTGAACCCAGTTCTCTCACTTGTGAGGCGAGTGCTCTAACCACTGAGCTACAGGACTCCAATGTACAATTTGTACATGCGGGATAATCATCGGTGCAAAGAAGCTGAAATGTTTGGATGATATTGCTTATTGAGTCAAGATTGTTTATTAGCTCTGAAGGGTGGGTGGAGACAACCCATCAAAGAGTGAGATGGTGAGATGGTGTTTTTTGCTCCGTCCCTCTGATCCTGGGCTCGGGTTTGCCCTTCTCCAAGTCAGGTGTACAAGAGAAGAATTTCAGTCTGTGAAGTGATGCAGAGTAAAGAAACCTGAGTTATATCTGTTTGACTTGCTGCATTTTTAAATATATATATTTTATTCTGTTTTTCAGCAATTGAAACACAAAGTACCAGTTCTGAGGAGATTGTACCAAGTCCGCCTTCCCCAATTCCACCCCCACGTGTGTACAAACCCTGCTTCGTCTGTCAGGACAAATCTTCAGGCTACCACTATGGGGTCAGTGCGTGTGAAGGATGCAAGGTAGGGCTACACGATGGTCTGAAGACAGTGCTAATGTGTTTTTATTGATTGCAGTCAGTTTTGATAATAGTGCTCAAATACCTGTGACACAAGCGAAGTAAGTGCATTGAGGGATATGGAGAAAAGGTGGGGATATGGGATTAAAAATTCTGTCATGAACTAATACAATAGGCTGAATGACCTCCTGCTGGCACTATATTACCTGAACCATTAACTATGAGAATAAAAGAACATCTGAAATTCTACCTAGACTTTTAAGACTAACTTCAGATTGCGCAGAATTGTAGGAAGTTATTCAATTCTTCTTCAATTTGGAAAGCCAGTTCCCTGTAGTTCTCAGAAAGAAACAAGTTTCAAATTGAAACTGAATTTAGGAAATTTTCCACAGTTGTGTGCAATCTTCATTTTTAAGATCAAATGGTCTTCCAGGTAAAGACAGGGTGAAATAAGGGACCTGTTGCTCAGGACACAGCCTCATAGTGAAGCAGGGCTCCAGCATCACGCACTTGCAACCATACCTAAGAACAGACGCCTCTTCCTCATTTATGATCAGACCCAGAGGTGAGGATCAAAGCCACAATCTCTTTGTTTATGATGCAAAATGTTATTACAGTGGAAACTCATTAACGAAAGTCATCAACAGATTGAGGAATTTTCATCACATTTAATGGGTTGAGCTTCATTTACATTACATAATGTTAAATTAAAAAGACTGCGAAGAAGCTGACCACACGGGCAAGTTAACCACACTAAGTAGGAACCCAGTTGTTAGTCGATTGGCGGATCGCTTTTCTGGGGATAATAATTCCTTCAAAAAAGTAATAAAATAATTGGTCACTCAATCCACGACTGTTTGTGGGACACTGCTGTGCACTATTGACTGCCGCGTTTTGCCCACAAAATATACAGTCAATTCACTTTATAATATATTGTGTGAAGTGCTTTGAGACGTCTCAAAGATGTGATAAGGCGCTATATCAAATGCAATGATTATTATTATTGGAGTGATGTTGAGGTGGGTATCCACTGTATATATACCCCCAGCAACCAGTGGTGAATTTTGGGGGGTGGGCAGCCAGGTGTCTGATGCATGCAGAAACCCATATCATGCTCAACATTGTCCAAACCAAACTGAGAGTTACATGCATCCCAGCCACACATGGAAATTCACATGGAGATGTTTATTGGAATGGAATGTGTACTCTCTCCCTATTTACCTAATTCCAGAAACATTGTATGGTTAACAATAACAACAAAATTACATTTATGTAGTGCCTTTCAAGAGTTGCAGGTTGGCAACAGCCAACGTTTGTGGGGAGCCCAGTGTTAGGAGGGTTAACAGGAGCTGAGTGGGAAGAATCCCTGCTTCTAGTGACTGGTCTGCCCTTCAAATCCTGTCAATAAGCCAAGCTGACTGTGCTGTCATCAGCAGTGCCTTTGAATACTGTGAACATGCCTGGCTTAAGAATTGGACGACTGAGACAGCCAGAGAGAGTTGGCTCGATTCTGACATTCTGTTGACCAACATGTCACCTTGGAGCCACTTTAGCTCCAAGGAGTCCTCGCTTACCTCCCCACAAAGAGGATAATCACCAATTGGTCATTTGGCATCCGACTAGTGTGGGTTTGAGCTCTCACTAGGTAGATGACAGGCACCAGGAACGCCCTGCAAACTTCCTGGTGGGCAACACAACTCAGCATGAAAAACATAATGTTGCTATGCAGTTTTTTAAGCGCACATATTCATTTTCAAAGTTCTTACTAGTATTATTGAAGAATATTTGGACCAAATTCTGAATGTTGGTCATTGTTTAATGGTCATTAAGCGAAGTGACCATTGGAAATAGAATCTTCCCTTTAGTTTTCCTGATTATGGATACGGTAGAAGAATAGTCTGCTAGAAGATTGTGATTCCAATCTGCAGTATTTCTAGAAATCCCATTGATCAGCAGGAACTTCACAAGTAGATTGGAGAGTATTGATTAGAGCACTCGCCTCGCAAACGAGCGGACCTGGGTTCGATTCCCGGGCAGGGCGAAACCTTAGGTAAATTTCCTTACTCCACATGACTCTGTTTACATCAACAACTGCATTTACATAGCGCCCTTCACATAGGTAGCATCGTGGAGCACTTGAGAGTGTCGGAGTCTGACTCTAAGCCAGGGGGAGAGGGAGGGGTAGGTGACCATAAGCATGATCAAAGAGTAAGTTCTTTAGGCGGGATTTGACATGTCTTATCTTGCCAACATTCAGCTGCAGGAAATCTGCACTCATCCAGGCCTTGATGTCCGTCAAACAAGCTGACAGGATATCAGCAGATTGGGAGTCGCAGCTGGAGGAGAAGTAGATTTGGGTGTCATCCGCATACGTGTGGAAGGTAGTCCCATGTCTGCGTATGACATTGCCAAGTTGGAGCACATAGATAAGGAAACTAAGGGTTGGGGTTAGGTAAGGATTAGGGTTAGGTAAGGGGGTCAAGGGTGGAGCCTTAGGGTACCCCACAGGTGGCTGGGTGGGAGGAAAAACCATTGGCCCAGAGGTATTGTTGCCGGTTTGTTAAGTATGATTTGAACTACGCGAGTGCATTCCCACTAAGATGGATGATAGAAGAGAGGCGGTGGAGGAGGATGGTGTGATCGACTGTGTCGAAAGCAGCTGAGGTCCAGGAGAAAGAGGAGGCAGTCGGAGCCCTGGTCAGCGAGAAAGAGAACATAATTTGCTACTTTGACAATGCTGTCTCTGTGCCGTGGGCTGGATGGAAACCGGACTGGAGGAGTTTGAATAGGGAGTGGAGGGAGAGGTGTGAGCAAAGTTGATTTCCAATGACGCATTCCAAAACTTTAGCCAGGAAGGGCAGGTTAGAGATGGGTCCAATGTTTGTGAGGTTGGAGAAATCGAAGGTTGGCGTTTTAATGAGCAGAGGGATGACAGCGGTTTTGAGAGGGAGTGGGACAGAGCCTGAGGAGAGGAACTGGTTGATTGTGTCAGCCAGCAGTGAGCAGAGGAGGGGGAGTTGAGCGACCAGAGGCTGGGTGGGGAGGATGTCGAGGCAGCAGGTAGTGGGCTTCATCTGGGTGATGGTGGGGGAAAGGGAGGAGGGAGAGGGGTCGGGGAGGCAGCAGCCAGGTGGATGTTATCTATCTTAGAGATAAAGAAGTCCAGGACCTCTTCGCATCAGAAGTGAAGTTTACCTCATGGTAAGTAGGAACCTGGTTACTCGGTGATTGGCCAATTGCTTTTCCAGAGGGGAATAATCCCTTAAAATAATAATAATTTGGCCATTCAATCCATAACCGTTTCGGGACACTGCTGTGCCGAATTGGCTGCCGATTTCACCCACAAACTATACAGTCAATTCACTTTACAATATGTTCTGTGAAGTGCCTTTGATACATTTCAATGATGTGATGAGGATCCATATCAAATGCAAGTATTATTATATTGTGTTGCAGAGGAGTTGCAGAGCTATACATCTGAGTACTGGAAAAAACTTATAATTTTCATAACTTGGTTTCTTTGTTAAAACCATTAAGAAATAGCATAAACTAGCAGCCCCAACAATGTAGTTGGCAGATGTGCAGTTTATGGACCAAGGGCTTGCTGGTTTGAATCCCACCATCTAAGCTGTGTTGAGTTTAGCCATTGACCCCCCCAATCCCTCCCCAAGATTAAATGTCTGCACTGTTTGAGGATAGACTTGCCTGTGATGACCCCAGTTAATATCTAGGCTCACACATGATGAATGGTCTCCTTGGCAAGGTCCTAGCACATGCTAAATGATAGTGGAACTGTATCCTAGCAAACAGTCAATAACGCTTTGATACCAGGAGGAGGAATACTGGAGCAAATTAAGAGAAAAAACTCTTATCCGTGAAATTTGTATCTGCAATAATAAAGATTATTGTGGCTTCTATTAAATATCACACTTTGCACAAAATCAAATTGTCCTGTTTTTCACTTGGTTCATTTCTGATCTGGTTGTGTGTTGATTGTAAGATTTGTTGTTTAAAGAATGGGCTGGCATGAATGAAGACGATGGATTTATTTGACAGAATCAGGATTATTGACTCTCAGTTTTAATTTGCATAGACACACTGGATAGCCATTTTGAGAAATGTGGCAACCATTTTACTCAGTTGACTGGAACAGATAGAACTGACAGTGTCAGTCACTATTTATTTTGTGTAATTTCGTAGAGAGAGAGAGCGAGCCTTTCAACATGTTTGACCTTTTATAAGATAAGCACAGCAGTGTTTTCTGCAAAAGAATTGAATTTTGGAAACATAAGAGCAGTGGACTTAATGAACCACTCGGCTTTTTTTTTCCGCTCCTTCCTGTCTTTGTAACTACATTACAATCACACATTTATTTATTATCTCTAGCAAAACTACACTGACATTTTACTGTCGGCTCTGGCAAAAGAACTTCATAGAAACACAGAAACAGGCCACTTAACCCATCAAGTATGTGCTGCTGTTTTTCTCCACATTGAGCCATCTAATTGTTTTCCAGCTCACTCTCCATGCTCTTTCTATGCTATTCCCCTGTAAAATAATTTATAGACTTTGGCTCAGAAATAGGTTGTGACAGAGAATTTCATGTTCCAACCGCTCTCTATTTAAATATTTTTTATTTCTATTTCAAGACAGAACTGAAATAATTGAACACTTTAAGCCCTGAGCTTCCTTTGAAACCTTCAGCACATATCAGGATTTTAATATCTTCTGAAACACTTTAGCTTTAGATATCACCAGCACTTTTTTATATGTGACAACAATAACAACTTGCATCCTTCATGTATGATAACATCTTGAAGTGATTCACAAAGACAGGCTGGATGCCAAGCAAGGGAAAGGGACATAACTGTAAGCATTGGCAAAGAATTAGGTTTTCAGCTGAGATTTAAAGATGTATAGAGATGTTGAGATGGGGGTATCCATGCCCTGGAGATAGTACAGAGGAAAACATTGAGGTTGATCCCCAGTACTGAAGGGATGAGA